ATCCATAAAGAATTGTCTTTAACAGGCTCTAAAAATTCATCTTTCTTTGCAAACATTGGACATTTTGCTGAGAGCTTTTTCCATTTTAATTGTTTGGTATGTTATGCCACTTAGTCAGCATCCTTGCTTAGAAACACACATTTTGATCTTATTATGCTGAGGGTATGATTATCATATGAATCATAAATGATGGTATGATATGATCACCACCTTAAAGTAGGAACAACTCTTATTTCTCTTCAATGACATATAATTATCCTCAGAAAATTGTATTGAAAGACTAATTTTACATTGATGTGTCACTTAATTACATATCACTAGTGACATGAAAAATTCAAAATATTCTATAAATGTTCCTTATGAAAAAAAAGCCAAGACATTTCTCACCCCAGTATTACCAAAACCAAGAGTTTGGGATCATACAGTTTTTTACATGTAAACTCAGGTTGCTTTTACTCAAACTGAGTAACTGAGTTTCACCAAACCTTCCAACGTCTCTCTTGGGAAAGTTGTGGAAGCCCCCATGGTTCTGTCAGTCCCTCTGATCTAGGCCCTGTTCTTGGGCTCAGATGTGGTTCATGAGAGCTTTTTTGCTTCCTGGAAGGGAATTCCAGGGACTTAGAATGCTTTCTCCCTTCTCAGTTCCTGTGCCCTTATACAGGGCACTATTCCTCGAGGTTTTTCTTATTTTTTTTTTCTTCTCCTTTTTTTTTTTTTTTAATTTAGACCTGATTTTAGAATGTAAATCAATCTACCTCATTCTCCTCGTTCTAGCTTCTTTGGAAAATAAACACAAAGATGCTTTTCTACTAAAGGATTTTATTTTATTTTTTTATTTCAGAGTATTATGGGGGTACAAATGCTTTGGTTACATAAATTGCCTTTGCACTGCCCAACAGGTGTGCCCATTCTTCAGGCAGAGCATGCCACATCCATTAGGCGTGGATTTATCCATCTGCTCCTTCCCCCAACTGCCCAACACCCTATGAATGTTACTTCCCATATGTGCACATTAGTGCTGATCAATCAGTACCAATTTAGTGGTGAGCAAATGTGGTGTTTGTTTTTCAATTCTTGTGATACTTCACTTAGATGAATGGGCTCCAGCTCCATCCAGGATAATACAATAGATAGTTCATAATATTTTTATGGCTGAATAGTTCTCCGTGGTATACATAAACCACATTTTATTATTCCAGTCATGTATTGATGGGAACTTGGGTTGTTTCCACATCTTTGCAATTGTGAATTGTGCCACTATAAACATTGGAGTGCAGGCATCTTTTTTATGGAATGTCATTTTTTCCTTTGGGTAGATAACCAGTGGTGGCATTGCTGGATCAAATGGTCATTCTACTTTTAGTTCTTGGAAGTATCTCTGTACTACTTTCCATAAAAGTAGGACTGGTTTGCAGTCCCACCAGCAGTGTATGAGTGTTCCTATCTTTCCACACTCACACTAACATTTGTTGTTCTGAGACTTTTTGATAAAAACAGTTCTCACTGGAGTTAAGTGATATCTCATTGTGGTTTTGACTTGCATTTCCCTGATGACTAGAGATATTAAGCATTTTTTTTTATGTTTATGGGCCATTAGTCTATCTTCTCTAAAAAAATTTCTGTTCATGTCTTTGCCCACTATTTAATGAGGTTGTTTGATTTTTTTCTTGCTGATTTTCTTGAGTTCAATATAGACAATGCTGATGATATGGACTTATACCTAGAAAACCCCAAAGATTCTACCAAGAGACTAGTGGAGTTGATAAATAGGTTCAGCAAAGTCTCAAGTTACAAAATCATAAGTTTTTGAACTGATATCCAGGAAGTTTTTTCTAACTATAAGGGATGCTCCTATAATATACCATGTATATCTCTACATTGTGCTTACCCATTTAAAAACATTATAATTTAATTACATGTATCTATTCCTCTAAAACTACAAGTCAATGAGGACAAATATTTCCTCAGCATCTTTAGTATAGAGACTGACACATAGTAGGCATTTAGTATTCAGAGAATGAATGAGTGAGAACTATTTTCCAGGATGACCTCTACTGGTACCAGTCTCACACTTTATACATTTCAATCTAAGCATTCATTTGCCATCCCTGCACTCCTTCTTCAATAACAGTATTCTTTTGTCAGAATGGCAATCCCTAACTCAAGCCACACTTCTTCCATTAAGTTTTTCCTGACAAACTGCCACCTCCATCACTGATACAATAAAAGGATGCTCCCGGTGAATCCTGTGTGGAGACTTCTATTGTCACACTTAAAACACATTTTTTATATGTTTCTCACTATTAAATATAATCTTATAAGATTTTGAGGATGAGACAGTTTTGTAATTATTTTTGCCACCCCAGGACCTAGCATAATACCTGTCACTTGACAGTTTGTTGAATGAATAAGTTGTTTACTTATTAAATGGTGATTCTTTATATATAGTATCTGATTTCCTAGCTGATTCAGTAATAGGAAGCTCATGGCTTTTGCTATCCACTTTTGTAATGCTGAGGGTAGTATTCATCAAAACCAACATTTACTTTTGATTTTTCTTCCTGCTGAGCTGTAATAAGAGCAGGTTAGACATGGCTTTTATCTTAAATGGGAAATCTGAATTTCTGAGGACCTCTTGACTAGGTAACTCTTAATTATCCTGGCTTTTATCCAGCCAAGAAATTATCATCTCTAGCTAGACATTTTTAACACAAACATATTTATAACTCAGTATAATGATGCAGTGCTCTTGTTTGGGCTGCGTGGGTTTCCACAAAATGGTGAGGAAGGCTGGACCAGACAAGACTCTGGGGCCTCAGCCATACCAATCTTATTTAAATAATTGTTCAACATTTATTCATAAGAAATGATAAGGATGCTGAAGAAATGCATTCTGTGGGGAGAGATGCAGAGAAATCATCTGTAGAAATGCTCAGCACTTCCTTTTCTTTCTTCTAGCTCTGGCTGAATTGTGTCCTGTAAGGAGATTTGTGGCCAGCATTTGTTACTTGGGCATACTGGTTACTTGTGTACCATTTTCACCCACAGGAACTTAGCAAAGTATTGCCTTGCAACCACATCTGATACCTTTGCCAAAATACTTGTAATTACTCATCTCCTTCATGCTGTATTTTCAAAATATATTTTATCTTCCCTTGTAAATCTCGACAAGAACAATTATCTACAGGAATTAACTCTACTTATTGGTAAATCAATTACATGGAAACTCATAGAGTGCAGTGGCATTCAATGTTCTTTGTTTCTTGTGAATTGAGGGGACTGCAGAAAGGTGGACAGTAGGTCCACAAAGCACTACTCTCAAGAAGATGTTGGATTTCAAGACAAAGGTTGTGGGGCATGTGCAGCCTTGCCAAGAGAAATAACTAGTGTGAAAATCGCAATTTTGCCTAACTTATCACTTACTAAAAGTCTTGTTTAGTTCGCACTTAAGTTAGAGGGTTTAATTTTCCAAATCAGTATATTTTAATACAGAGTCTTATTTATTTATTTAAGGATATTATAGGGGTTCAAACATTTTGATTACATGAATTACTTCCGTACAGTTTGAGTCAAAGTCATAAGTATGTCTGTCACCCAGACAGTGTGTGTTGCACTTCTTTCCAGAAAAAAAATGTGATTGTCTTAAGACCTCCTTCCAGGGAGTCTCATAAAATAACCAGGAAAGACTTAGCCACCAGAGAAGAGAGGAAACTAAAAGTTGTCACTATGTCCAGATGGACTTTTCATCTGTTCTTTTGAGGGTAGCTCCAAGAGATCACCTGGGAGACTTTATCTACACAGCAAGACAACCTTTGTTTACAGTGTAGTGCTATCCCTCATTTTCCTGTAACTTTCTGATCCCATTCAGTTTTTTTTAAGAGAAACATTTATAAGATAATGTATGCCCCTTGGGCCTATTCACTCCCCCTAAAAAATAATTCACTACGTATCTAAAATTGCCTACAGATACCTCACTTCCCTCTTCCCTATGAAGAAGGCATTTAAGCCTCAGTCATCTGGCCCTTCTGTGACTCTCCTATTTGTGGGACTCTCATCCATGTACATGTTAAAAAATTTGTATGCCTTTTTTCCTATTCATCTGTCTATTGTCAGTTCATTTCAGTGAAACGTTCAGAGGACAGAGGGGAAGCTTTTCCCTCCACTCCCACAGGAACCAATATGATTAATTCACTCACTCACTCACTTGATTTGATCACAATGTCCTGTGGAAATGTAGAACCTTCTCCAAGATGTTACTAAATTCCACCAGGCTTAGCTTCCCACAGTTTTCTCTACTTTGAAGCTCCTCCCTCTGGGTGTATCAGCTCCATTTTATACTACACACATTCAAGACAGGAAACTCAACTCTTTCTGAAGCTGACCTAAGAAAACCACTCATGTACATAACATTTATGAGCATGTGAAACTTTTAAAATTTTTGGAAACATCTTAAAGATCCCATGTAACAAGTATAAAAACATCGAATTGAATACTAGTCATTTTTATTCTTAACATGTCCATTAGCCATTCCACTTCAGGGGCCCTTTCCACTGGCTGATTTCCTGTATTGTCACCACCTTCATATGCTATTCTACATGCTCTTGTTTGTTCTTCATCTTCTCAGTTCTCCCGCTTCCTCTCAAGGACAAACCAAAGCTCTCCCCTGGTAACCTGAATTTGCCATTCTTGTCTTAACTCCCCCTGACATTGCTTCCCATGCATTCAACCTTCACCATCAGCCTCAATTGGCTCATCAGCTTATTTTCTTAAAAACAGTTCCCTGTCTGGGAAGCATTATGATGCTAAATATGAACATATATAATATTTTGATGGAGAATATATTTTTAATACAATATGAAAAAAGGGTACAATGAAAAATAAGATTAGGTCTGCTCTTAACATATAGATCCTAATATTTTAACCTGCTTACATGTTTCATTCGTTTTTCCTATAATTTCTTTTACACATTTGTATATGCAAATATAATAGAATGAAATGCTACTTAACAAATTAACTGACAGTTATTTATAATGATTATTAGTGTTTCACTATTAGGATATGGCATAGTTTATTGCTCCTCTACTTTTGTACATGCATGCTTCAACATTTTTGCTAATATAAACAACACTTTGAAACATTTTGAAGTGTATACCTTTGCTCCACATATATCCACAATGGTTTTTAAAGATAAACTCCCAGAAGTGAGATAGCTACATCAAAGGATATGTGTTGCTGCCTTTAAATAGTTCTGCGAAAGCCTTTTCAGGCCTCCAACCTAGAGATAACCCACCTTATGTTTAATAGGGCCATGTCCTTTAAGCAGAATGGAACTCCAATGGGTCCCTGGCAGAGTGAATCTGAGCCAGGAGTTATTTATTGTGGTCCAAAGAGGTTAGAACTTCAAAGTGAATCCTAGTTTTTGATGACCTAGGGACAGGGACAAGGCATTTTTTCATGCATATCTACTACTCACAATATATATAAATTCTCACCGACACATATTGTTACTCCCACCCCATTCGGAAGTGCACACGTTCATAAACACACGATGTTTCATATTGAGCACTATAGTACATACAGAAGATGCAATTGTTGCTTTCAAGCAGTTTGAAGAGCTCTTTTAGTTTAAAGTTTAATTTTAGTTTAAAATACCTTTTGCTTTCTGAAAAATTTTGAAGTGTACCAAAATCACCCTTCCAGTGACAAATTTAAAAGTGAATTTATACATAGAAATGTGGAGAGGTGTTTGTGTGAAGTGGCACTAGACAATTGTTATCATTGCAGTATCTGTAAGTATCCTCTCAGATGAGTAAAATATTCCCTGTTGTGTCAAGTGCCTTGTAGTTGCGTTACATCCTCCCTTCCACTAAAGTACCACTTAGTACAATGGGGTGCAATTAAGCCAATAGAGCCTTGGTGATCTGAAAGGTAGTTCTCTTCCAAAGTGCTTCATTTACTCCTCTGTGTTAATAATGGATGGTTTTCCCATATTATGCTATCATGGGTTACTCACTAGTGAGAAAATATTTCAAGTCTAGACTAAGTGGGACAGAAATTATTATATTTCATTAGCATATTCTCAATCCAAGCTTTCTACAAACATAGCCTTTATTTTTCTTACTATTTTCTAAGAACTAATATAACAATATTACCCTTATGTAGTATATTCTAATGTTTTGTGGGAAAATGATTTCTGGACTTTTCCCTGAGTATATTTTGTTCTTTTCTCCTATATTTTGTCTTTCAGCTTGCATCATAAATTCATAGAGAAGTGGCTATTTCTGCCTTAAATAAAGCCCTAATATATTGTTGATGCTCAGACATATTACATAATGATTATAACAATAAAAGTTTAGTCCCATGGAAACGTTATTAAATTTTCCTCTACCTTAGATTACATGTCATCCTCTTGGTAATACATGGTAGCTGGATGATTTATGTGTTCTCAAAATTTTAAAATATTTCTCTGACTATATAGCTTTTTGGGGGGCTAGTTTTTCAGTACTTTCTAAGTCTACAGATTTAATTTCTTCAATTTTCTACCAATTTTTCTACCTGATATGAAATACTTTAAAAAATCTTTGCCATTTTCTAGTTATAATAAGTTTTATATCCCTCTTGGTTTATTAGATGCATTTTTTTTCTGAATTAACTTTGCCTCAATATAGAGTATTTACAAAATTCCATCTCGATGGTTTATCCTGATGACTAACACTTCATCCTACTTTATCTTTTTCCCTTTAAATTTAAATTAATGGCATATATTCTTGCTTTCTCTTTGTTTTTACTTATTTCTAGGACATTCAACTCAAAGTTTTTGTTTTATTTTTCTTGACTTCCTATCACTGTTTCTTTTTGCTTTGTATGTAATAGAAATTGTATGTAGTCCTTTTTAAAATTTTACAATTAATGAAAATAATTCAGGGTAATTCAGTCATTTCTGAAACTTTTTTCTTAATATAACCTGTAGATTGCTCAATTCCTTCATGTTTCTTTATATTTACATATTGAACATTCTTAAGCTATGAAAGAGGTAACTTGATTCTTAGGCTCAAAACCAGGCTCAGAACCCAGCACAGACTTTTGTGAACAGAATTAGTTCTTAGAAATTCTAGGTGTTCACCGAGAACATCCAGGTGTTCTCTCACCCATAGGAATGTATGTATTCTCTAACAAACTTGTTCCTTCAAGTGTGGGCCCTGGGCTAGCAGCTCTGGTATCACCTACAAAGTAGTTTGTAATGCAGAATCTCTACTTTCCAACTCAGACCTTCTGAGTCAGGATCTGCATTTAACAAGATCCCTAGGTGATTCCTATGCATGTTCCAGTTTGAGAAGCCCCTCTATAAATTTTTACTAAGGTTCACTTTTAGAAGAGTTCACTAGGGAGTTAAAGGAGTTTTATCCTTACCTGGGGGCTGGATATAGGCCAAATGTCCAATGGCTGAATATTGAAATCAACATTTGGTTGAAGCCAAGGTTGAGGTCAAATATCATTGTAGAATCTCTGAGATACACAAATGAATCTGAAACTTTACCAAAATTTAGAAAATGCATTAATATTAATTATTTACATTTAAAGATTAAAGTTTTTATAATTTAGTAACAATATTTTTTCAGCACTACCAGATTCTAGATTACTCCTATAGGTACTGTACTAGTTATGTATGGTAAATAGATGCTCTATTTCTACTGATGCCATTGGAGAAACAAGACATAAATCTTGAAAAACTTATGACCTAAACAGAATTAAATATATCAAAATATTAATAAATTTATTTAAGGTTATTTGGTTTAATGCTATGAATGTCAGTATACAACTAATTCTATGAAGATTAGAGTAATAATTTTATCTACTATTTGTTATCTACTATTTGTTCTGCTTTATATCATTATTTATATCTTCATAAGCACTATTGAATCAAAAAGTTCTTATGCTTCCCAGGATTACCTCATTCTTTTTAATATCTTTATTGTCTTCTTAACTACTAATTTAACCCTTTAAAATTAAAAAATAATGGTTCCATTAAAATTATCAGCTTTTGAAGTGCTAATTAATGATTCCATTTTATTCTGGCAACAAAAACTATACACAATTATCTCAACAGATTTATAGAATTTCAACATACAAAAATAGAATTTGATCACAAAGTATATATTGAATATTTTCCTATATATGAAAGTAAATATTTAAATATAAAAAAATCTGAAAAACATGCTTTGCACTCATGGTTTAGTTACAAATATGTAAGTGGTAACCTACTATAATCATCTTGTCGTTGGTCATGCACGATTTCTGGGTTCTCAGAAATGGTACTGATGTATGCATTTGGTTTAAGATAAAACCATAGAGTCAGTTTAGGCTGAGAAATGGGATAATGCCAAACTTGTTTGTTTCCCTTATTCATTATAGAAGCTGCATTTTTATATTAACATTATGCCTCAAAGAATATTTATTTTTAGTATCACCATTGGTCAAATTTTTGTGATTATAACTTTTATGACAAATAATTTTGTCATATATATATGGACATGTGTGTTAGTTTTTAAATGTAACAAATTTCGCTCATTCACTTTCATTTTGAAAACAAAGGGAATTGAAAATATTTTTCTCAATAAAACTATACATTAATATACCAAAATTTAAAAAGAGATATTTCCTGCTTCTACTTTTGTTAATTAAGAAATATAAACTCTTTGCAAACATATACATGTTACTCAGATTAGTCTCTCATTTAGAATTGAAAAATTTTCAGCTGGTATTATAGAAAGAAAGCACTTATTTATTTATGAAAATGTACTTTGCATGTTGGCTCTAGATATCTTAAATTTGGTCCTTTTTTTCAATTGCTAGCATACTGGCCTTTTAAACAAATCAGAAGTTCAATGATTCTTAAAATTATATTCAATCCTGTATAAAACTTCTTGATCATTAAAAACTATTTCTTGATTATTCTAAAATTAAATTTATGTAATTTTATCAAGTTTCCATTGAGAGATTCTAAATCATACTTTTGAATAAAAACTAAACATTTTTAAAATATAAAAAATGTTTTATATTTCTTGACAACTCTACTATTCTAATAATCTATATTTGTTATTTCTATTACTATCAAAACTTTAATGGTAAATTTGTCCACTAGTAGGTGACAAGGAGCAATAACAGTTCTAGTTCAATATTTAATAATTATCTCTACACCAGCTAATTAACTAAACCTCTGAGGGAAAATGTTATAGATTTCTGTGACAAATAAAGTGGAATTCTGTGGGTAAGTATTGATTTGATAGAGATTCAAGAAAAATTCATCTATCTGTACAAATTGGCAAGTATCTAAAGCAATCCAATTGGTATTATGTTGGTTAAAAAAGAATGTATAAATGCCAGCTGACTATCAGCTACAATTACAATAATATTGTCTATCTAATGACTAAAAAAACAGAACAAAAAGAGAAAAATGCATTCATTTGATTACAAAAAGAAATATTTTCATTGGGGGTTGAAAATGAACAGATAAGTTAAGACATTGCTAGTAGTAGGCACTGAAAAAATGAAATGCAAAGCAAAAAGCAGAGAATCTTAAGCAATAGGGGCATTAGATGCTCAAAAATTGTCCAGGGACAGCTAAAGGTCATAGTTGCTTATGTAATGATAAAAAGTAGACAGAAGAATATATGTTGTATTCCAAACTTGTGTTAGGTTAACTTGAGTGTTGAGAATGAAATAATGAATGAATTTATTTTTCATTATTATGTAAGCTTTGACAACATAGGGATGGCTATAATATGTACTGTTAATTGATATTTACTCAAGAAATAAATTGTAGAAGTTAAGCACCAAACAACAGCAACCGGTGAGGTAAAAGGTAACTAAGAAAGTGTCATATTAGCCAGCATATTGTCAATGGCTTTCCCAATTTAACTGGTATAATTTTTTTTAATGTATGTAAGGTGATAAAACTGATATTGATCCTTTTTATCACACTAGTAAGAACTATATTCCAGTTTGTACTTAGTTGATTGAATGAATGAGTTTTTGTCTGTTTAGAAAAAATATGCTTTATATATTTAATAAGGTCATATCATATTTTTCCAAATATGTCATTATCATTTTCTCTGATATAATCTTATGCAGTGGAATATAGTATTTCCTTACCATTAACTTCACTAATCATGTTTAAATTGGGTCAGGGACATAAATACTGCTGCCAGTGGTTTCATTCTCATTATTAATTAATATTTAATTCCACTGAGGCTCCTTTCACAGATAGGAAAAGCAGGGCAGTAAAAAGAGGTCCATAGATGGCCTGGGTATCCTCACAAATCTTTGTATAGAAAAGGCTCCTACCCTCTTAAGCAATGGGGCTGTGTCACTACATGGTAGGGTGGCTATAAAATTTATTGTCCAAACTGAGACACTTTTGAAAGTGAGAGGGAGCACTATTAATAATTACACCTGGACAACAGACATAAACCACAACTGTCCTGGGCAAACCAGGACGTATGGTCATCCTATTACATGGTGACAGTACAATGATGTATGGATGGGATCTTTCAAGCCTTGAATGTAACTTGGTTTGGGATTTTTTTCTGAGCTCAAGTGCTATGCATTATCTATGTGTAAGTTCTGCTTCCTTATAGCTAGGCTATCATAAAACTTTGCATGGAAATGAACTCCCCCCCATTCTGAAAGAAATATAAGTTTTAATCTATCTTAGAAGCTGTTAAGATGTAGAGGATAATTTGAAGATGGGATGTTGTATAGTATGGGTAGTTATTTTTCCTTTACTGATGATGAGACAAGAGCTTCTGAAGAGCTGTGGTTTAAAAAAAAAGTGCTTTTTAACCAGTCCCCAACCACCCTGAATTCATTTTAACAAACTGTCAATATGATTTTAGTTAACATTTTATTAATTTCTAACTTTATTGAATTATTATAAGAGAAAACAACCTTTTAAAAATCTGCCAAGCTTTAAAATGTGGCCAAATTAAACTTATAAATGAAATGTATATTTTCTATTCAAGGGATGTATTAATATCTATTAAATCAAGTATTATTCAGCTCTTCTATGACCTGTCTTAACATTTTCTATATTAGAGCTGTCAAATTCTTAGATATGTTAAAGCTTCATACTATTCTCTATCAACACTTTATTGTGCCTTCAACAGTTTTTGTTTTATATCTTTAAACTACTGTTGAAAGCACAATAAAGTGTTGTGTAACATATTATTTATGTGTGTGTATGTTTGTCTGTTTATATCTTTTTATAAATTCTGATATTTTTTATCATTATATGACACCACTATTTATCCTTTTTGGGGTTTTTAACTTAATTATCCACCTCATTGTATCTCCATTCTTGCTTTTTAAAATTTCCATTTGTCTAGTATTTCTCTTTGTTCATCCTTTTATTTCCCTTTTTTTTTTAATTGCTCTCTTCTAATGGTGTGAATCAGTCTAGAAAGGAAAAGCTGCATTGCACTAACAAATTAACCCTGACATTTAAAAGGCTTAGAAAACAAAGTTTATTTTTGGCTCTTCCTAAGTTCACTTAAGTTTTCTTTTCACTTTAACACTCAGTTGTCCTCCATTTGTTCCCTCAGTAACTCAGGCTGTTTCAATCTTGTGGTTCTGCCATCTCAACAGGGAGTGTCAGGGTTTACTGTGGCAGGAGGAGAAAGCTGGTGTACATGCTCCCCTCTTAAATTATATGGTTTACAGCCCATTGGCTAAAACTACTCACGTGACCCACTTAGCTGCTAGAGGGCTGAAAATGTAGTCTTCTGTGCATCCAAGAAAAAGAGGAGAACCTAATAATGGTGAATATTTTTTTTTCTTCCCCTACACTCCCCTGAATAATTTTAATGTCAATGATAATGTGTTTCTTGCAAATAAAGAACAGCTTTTTTATTTATTTATTTTTTTTATTTTGGCATATTATGGGGGTACAGATTTTAAGGTTTCAATAAATGCCCATTTCCCCCCCTCCCCCCAAAAGTCTGAGTCTCCATCATGACCATCCCCCAGATGGTGCACATCTCACTCCTTATGTATGTATATACCCGCCCCCTTCCCCCCTCCCACCTCCCCAATACCCTATTACTGTAGCACCTATGTGTCCACTTAGGTGCTACTCAGTTAATACCAGTTTGCTGGAGAATATATCTGGTGCTTGAAGAACAGCTTTTTAAAACGTTTGAATTTTAGAATCTCTATCTTTTAAGAGAAGAGTTCATTCTATTCACAATTAGTAGAGTGAATGATATGCTGATTTTACTGATCATTTTTATTTTCATTTTTTCCTTTACCTTAGATTACTTGATGATTATATTGCTATTTTTTTCTTTTAATCTGGATGTTCTATTTTTCCTTTCAATTCTATTAGTCTTTATCTTTTCTCTGTTTTTATATGTAATCATTAGCTTATATTTATGCTAACATCTTAGCTCACTACAACCTAAAACTCCTGGGTTCAAGGGATTCTCTTACCTTAGCCTCTCAAGTAGCTGGGACTATATGTGCGCACCACAACAC